ATTGAACAGTGGAGGAAAATGACTTAATGCCCAGCCACCGATTGAACAGTGGTAGAGGAAAATGACTTAATGCCCAGCCACCGATTGAACAGTGGTAGAGGAAAATGACTTAATGCCCAGCCACCGATTGAACAGTGGTAGAGAAAAAATGACTTAATGCCCAGCCACCGATTGAACAGTGGTAGAGGAAAATGACTTAATGCCCAGCCACCGATTGAACAGTGCCCAGAGATTGAAAAATGACTTAATGCCCAGCCACCGATTGAACAGTGGTAGAGGAAAATGACTTAATGCCCAGCCACCGATTGAACAGTGGTAGAGAAAAATGACTTAATGCCCAGCCACCGATTGAACAGTGGTAGAGAAAAATGACTTAATGCCCAGCCACCGATTGAACAGTGGTAGAGGAAAATGACTTAATGCCCAGCCACCGATTGAACAGTGGTAGAGAAAAATGACTTAATGCCCAGCCACCGGTTGAACAGTGGTAGAAAAAATGACGGTTAATAGAGAAAAAACCCAGCCACCGGTTGAACAGTTGTGGAGGAAAATGACGTAATGCCAAGCCACCGGTTGAACAGTGGTAGAAAAAAAATGACTAAATACTCACCCACCGGTTGAACAGTGGAAGAAAATGACTTAATTCATAGCCAAAATGACTTACTGCATGGCCATTGAACTGTGGGTTAACACTTGTAACTATTTTTATATCTACCATGAAACATTACATACTAATTATTTGCGAATTTTGACTCAGGTGCTCAGGCAGACGGGTTCAAATTGTTCAGGAACGCTGGGCTGAAAGGGCTAAACATACAGTGTAAACAGCATCGAATACGCATTGCATATGCAACTATGATGTTAATAAAAAAAATAAAATAATTACTGTTATGGTAACAATCTTGACGTGAACGTGAAATAAAATGGTGAAATTATATTCAAAGTCCACCTGGGCTTTCTGTTAAGATGCAGCAAACAAAAGATGCAAAAATAGTGCACCTAAGAACATTTGAACAATTGAAGGTAATAGTTGTCATAAGATTTAAATGCGTTGGTAAGAAATACAGAACAGCAGACTCCGAGCCAATCCCGATGAACGCATGTCACCTCGAGTAGGCACCGTGCCTTGAGAAAATGTCGAAACTCAAACTCACATCTGACCTCAAGTGAAGCACTTATATAAGATCCATCGCTAAAGATGCAGGTAAAATGATCCCTGTACCACTCCAGTAAGTACCTGACTCCTCATGCTATCCCTTACCTTTATAAGAGCCAGATCCGACCGAAAATGAAGTAATGTTGCCAGATTTGGGAGGGAGCTGCCCGGTACTCACTTTTCAGTCTTGATATTGTTCAAAAGCCTCTCCAATTTCTTGTGAGAGTATTATTTTCCTCCCTCCAATCTCTCTCTCTCTCTCTCTCTCTCTCTCTCACACACACACACACACACACACACACACACACACACACACACACACAGAGGCGGAATGTGGCGAGTCTCTCAATGCTCTATCACTACTTCCATGAAAAGTGCTCAGACGAACTACGTTCCTTGGTTCCACCAGTTCTAACCTTCATGGATAGGACCAGCCATGCCACTTACATAGTATCAAATCACCCACATTCCCTTCGTATTCCATCGATGAGAGTTAAGTTTCACTCGAACAGTTTCTTCCCGCAAACCACTGCCCTGTGGAACCTGTTTAGTTAACCACTGTCTTCCCCTCCTAACCTAAACTAGCCCTTAACGTAACCCTCTTGTTAAGTAACTAGGTACTTAACCTCTGGTTAAGTAACTAGTTTATCCTTCATCTTATTGTTGCCTGTTTATCACCATGCTCATGTACTCTTACATTCTACGCCTGTTAAATCAATAAAAAAAGTAAGATTAATATGATGAGAGATAAATCGATTACAAAATAATACTGAAATTCTTAATCTAAGAAATTCAGACTACTTAATACTATTATATCTACTACTATTAGTTGGACAATAAAAATAAGATGGAAGGAAAATAGTCAAAACCAAATAATAATTGAACATAGTCTAAGAAATTCAGACATGAATATTATATCTATTACTACTACTCCTCTAAAAATAAGATGGAAGAAAAACGTGTCATTAATTAATATAAATAGAGAATAGTTAATGTAGGAAATTCAAACAACTTCAGATTTGTTTATTCATTGGAGAGATTGAAAGATGGCGATAGCTTTGGGGAGAAATGGAATAAAATCTGTCTGATTTCAGTGATAAGATAAAGGAGTTAAAATTGAAAAGTCAGACGAAGAATAAAAAAGAAGAGAAATATTGCAGAAGAAAGAAACAAAGTGGAAGTTAACGAACCGTAAAAGAAAGAAAGAAAGAAAGAAAGAAATAAGAAAGACAGAAAGACAGAAAGTTAACTATAGAAGTTGATTGTAGTAGAGAAGAAGAAAGAAAGAAAGAAAGAAAGAAAGAAAGAAAGAAAGAAAGAAAGAAAGAAAGATCATAACAAAAGAAAACTATAGTGGTCAATGGTGATATAGAAGAAGAAGAAGAAGAAGAAGAAGAAGAAGAAGAAGAAAGAAAAAAAGAAAGAAAGAAAGAAAGAAAGTTAAATATAGAAGTTGATGGTAGTAGAGAAGAAAGAAAGAAAGAAAGAAAGAAAGAAAGAAAGGAAAGAAAGAAAGATCATAACAAGAGAGAACTACAGAGATTAATGGTGGTATAGAAGAAGAAGAAGAAAGAAAGAAAGAAAGAAAGAAAGAAAGAAAGAAAGAAAGAAAGAAAGAAAGTTAAATATAGAAGTTGATGGTAGTAGAGAAGAAGAAAGAAAGAAAGAAAGAAAGAAAGAAAGAAAGAAAGAAAGAAAGTTAAATATAGAAGTTGATGGTAGTAGAGAAGAAAGAAAGAAAGAAAGAAAGAAAGAAAGAAAGAAAGAAAGATCATAACAAGAGAGAACTACAGAGATTAATGGTGGTATAGAAGAAGAAGAAAGAAAGAAAGAAAGTTAAATATAGAAGTTGATGGTAGTAGAGAAGAAGAAAGAAAGAAAGAAAGAAAGAAAGAAAGAAAGAAAGAAAGAAAGATCATAACAAGAGAGAACTACAGAGATTAATGGTGGTATAGAAAAAGAAAGAAAGAAAGACAGACAAACAGACAGACAGAAAGAAAATTTTCTATAGAAGTTGATGGTAGTAGAGAAGAAGAAATTAAGAAAGAAAAAAGAAAATAGAAAGAAAGATCATAACAAAAGAGAACTATAGTGGTCAATGGTGGTATAGAAGAAGAAGAAGAAGAAGAAGAAGAAGAAGAAGAAAGAAAGAAAGAAAGAAAGAAAGAAAGAAAGAGTGACAACCAAACGCAAAAAATGGAAAGAAGACGGTGATTTAATAGAATGACAACGAAGAAAGAAAGAAGAATCAAGAAAAGAGTAAAAGTAAGTAAGAAAGAAATATCAAAAGAAAGAAAGAAAACAGAAAAAAAAGAAAGAAAGAAAAAAGGAGTTGGAAACGACGAGCATTTAAAAGAATGAAGTTGATGGTGATGATATAGTAGAGAGAGCGAGAAAAAAAAGAGGGTGATGACAATGAAAAATGTAAGAAAAAAAAAGAAATAAAGACGGAAAGAAAGAAAGATGACAAATACGGTGCATAGCAATAGAAGTAAAAAGAATGAAGTCGATAGTGCAGGGTTTCCCCCCCCACCACCGCCACAAAAAAAGAAACAAGAAATTTGATACAGTTTATTTAAATGTTTGATTTTTTGTTACAGTTATTTGAAACAAAAGCAACAGATAGAAATTTAGTAGCTGAGAACAAAAACACAAATGTGGTGTTCAAATTAAAGAACTCTGGCAAAATTTCTTGGCATTTTTTTCAGTCCCAAAATTGTGTTCTTTCTTAAAGAGAATAATCATCTCGCTTTGAAAATTTGATAACTCCGGCATCCTGGAACAACAAATGGTTAAAAAATTTTATATGTTAGTTAATTTTTTTACTTCATTCATATAGTTAAATATATAGTTAACTTTTTCATATGTTACTTATTTTGTTTTATCATATCAGTGAGTAAGTTATGCGCCATGCGTGATACACGCGTAAGCGGTCATGTATCTGTAGATACATGACTGACGAGGCAGATTTTTTCCCGCATTGGGTTGCCATTTCTTTCTGTGCTAGACCAGTTGCCATCCAAAGCTCTAGAACCCGGTTTATCCTACTATTTACCCTTTTCAAAGGGTATTAGCACGTAAGTGAATGCAATAGATTCGACTGGAATTCGAACTCGGCTCTACGATTCCTCAATCCGAGCTGCTATCCATTACGCCATCGTGCGTCTTTGATCATATAGTAAATCTAAAATTTCTTGTTTTTTTTTTTGTGAGGCACCCTGTAGTAGAATAAAGAAAGAAAGGAAGATGGCACTGCTACAAAAGAGAGAAACAAATACGCAAACAGATATTTATTTACTTAGTTCTAGCTTAGTCTGACATAAGGCCACAATAACCAGAATCCTTATGAATCAAGCACACTAAGTTTCTGAGATTAACTTACAAACCCTCGCTCTACCCCTGACACCCAAAAATATATAGAAACAGAAGTATGTGCTGATAAAAACAGAATTGGCGGCAAAAATAGACGATGATTCTTTCTCCTCTGCCAGCGTTAAATGAATCATTCTCCGTACAAAAGCTCAAAGCAGCATGGCCGTTGATACCAATGGTATTTCCAAGTTAGTCTGCCTTACATATGTTATTTCTCTTGTTTAAGTGCACCCTCCCCACATAAACCCCACCGTTTTCCATCTTTCTCTCGTCTTTTTCCTTTCTTTGTTGGCTCATGTCTGCCACACCTCGCTTTTATTATCAGTTTCAGACTATACTGCTTTGCCACTCTAAAGCGTTAGAATTATTCGTTCTTCGAGTAGTTCTGGTCGAGCAAACTTAGCAGGGTGAGCACGCGTCCCTTTTCTTCTCCATGGCCCACCCTTTGTTTCAGTCTGTTTCTTTACAATCTCTATGTTTGTTTGTTGTTTTGGGGTTTTTTTTTCCTTGCTTCTGTGAAACCTGATACCTGATACTGAGATCCGGGGGGGCTATCAACTCGAAACACACATTCCGAAAGAACTGAACATAAGAATCGGCAGAAGAAGAAGAAGAAGAAGAAGAAGGAGGAGAAGGAAGATGCAGAAGAAGGAGGAGTAGGTGAAAGATGAGGCTGAAGAAGAAGAAGAAAAAGAAGGAGGAGGAGGAGACGAGGACGAGGCTGCAGAAGAAGAAAAAGGAGGAGCAGGAGAAGGATGAAGAAAAAGGAGGAAGAGAAAGAGGAGGTTGAAGAAGAAGAAGGAGGAGGAGGCTGAAGAAGGAGGAGGAGGAGGCTGAAGAAGAAGAAGAAGGAGGAGGCTGCAGAAGAAGAAGAAGGAGGAGAAGGCTGAAAAAGAAGTAGGAGTAGGAGGACGGTGCAGAAGGAGGAGGAGGAGGCTGCAGAAGAAGCAGAAGGAGGAGGAGGCTGAAAAAGAAGAAGAGAAGTAGGAATAGGGGGAGGATGCAGAAGAAGAAGAAGAAGCATGAGGAGGAGGCTGGGGAAGAAGAAGAAGAAGAAGAAGAAGAAGAAGAAGAAGAAGAAGAAACAGTTACTATTATAATATTGTGACGAATACGAAGATAGGAAGGAAGATATAAAGTAGGGGAAGAGAAAATGTCTACGCACCAAAAGAGACAGAGTAATTAACAACCTTCCCGCCTTTCCAAGTGCTTCCATATCCGACCCGGGTCGGGTGACGATTGGAATCAAATGTTGCTGTTGATAAAAATCAACCTAAACTTCTTTTTATATGCCGTGTCCTTTCAGGACGTAGGCGATCATGGCCCTCCACTCTCTCCTATCAATTGTGGTTCTCAATAGGTTTTTGTGTATCTTCCAACCCCACCAGACCACGCTTCGCCATGCTCCTATCCATGTATGTTATGCGCTGTTTTCCCCTGTCTCTCTTTTCCTCTATTCGACCTGTGAGTATCAGATTCTCCAGGCACTCCTTTCTCATCACGTGTCCTAGAAATTTCAGCTGCCTCTTACTTATGTTAAGCTTAAGCTTCCTCCTTGTTTGCATCCTCTCCAAGACCGCATCGTTGCTCGCATGTTCCATTCATGATATCCTCAGCATCCTTCTGTAGAACCACATTTCCGCCACCCCGAGTCCATCTTTGAGGATACCGTCCAACATTCGCTGCCGTACAGGAGGACAGATGTCATGTAGCACCTAAAGTCAGACCCCAAAAGAAAAGAGTCCGGTACTGCTATGTAATATTAATCCTTCTATATGGCAATTAATGTGAGATGTGGTTCTACAGAAGGATACTGAGAATACTTATAAAAACACTAGGCTTGGAATCAGAAAGAGACAGTTGAAAATTCTGGGACATTTAATGACAAAAGAAAGCTTGGATAGAATCTAACATAATTGCAAGAGGTTGTAGAGAGAAACATATCGTAGCCTAGCAAACCAGTTTGTCTAAACAGATGCCAGAATAGGTACTGGGAGGGACAGTAAAAAGGCAAACATTACTTAGAACTACAAATAACGAAATATGTCTTTCAGAAGCTAAGTAATATATTAAGATTAGGAATATTTCATTAGAAACAAAAGGGAAGAATGGTGCACTGTGATATCTGTCCTCCAAAGTGAATGTTGATAATTTACTTACAGAGGAAGGAGGAAATTGAGCTTACAAAGATTTGGTTCTACAGAAGGATACTGAGACTACTTGGAGTATTTGAGTAACAAGGACGTTTTAAGACAAATGGGATCAAACCGACACTTGTACTTGGAATCATAAAGAATTAATTGAAAATTCTGGAACATTTAATGGCGAAGGGGGGCTTAGAGAATCTAACACTAACAGGTTATATTGAAGCTAACAGGTTACAGAGCAAAATATCGTGTAACCTACCTAACGAGCGTGTTTAAATGGATGGCAGAATGGAACTGGTGGGGGGGGGGGCAGTAAACGAACGTGCATTGCTTAGAACTACAAACAGCAAAAGATACTTTCCAAAAGTTAAACAATATATTAAAAAGCTTCTACTTCTGTTCAAAAAACCGTGGAAGAGTGTGAACCGAGCGACAGGCGAATCTATCTACTCCTATTGAGGAAAAAATAAATAAATAGTAAATAAAATTTCAGAGTGTAGGGAGACCAATGTTGTTTCCCCTTGGGTTGAGCTCATAGGAATTACGCCCCTTTAGAGAGGAGAACTCTTCTGCCCTTTTTTTCTTTTGCTTCTTAACCACCAGGGCGTCCACACACATGGAAAATGGACAATACGTAAACAGCCCAACATAGAATGAAAAGCCATTTTGATTCACCGAGTATGAGATGGTCAAAAGCCATAAAGCTGATATGTTATTTCTTTGTTGTTCTGTTAAACATTCTCGTCCTTTGGACAGTATGAACAATCATTTGTTTTGGCACATGTCTAAATCTTTTTCCCATGTGTATGTAAGTTGTATTTGCTTTATTAAATGTTGTGTTTATCATGGGCGTGTATCTCGTCTTTCTATATTCATATTCAGTGTTAGTGTATCAATGGCTACACTAATGCTAATATTAGTACTCAGTGCACTAGAAGGCTAAAGTATTATTCTTCCTAACACCAAATAGCCAGTAAACTATGGCTGGCTGATAAATAATACTAATCAGTGTTTAGGTGGGGACGTTAGAAGTATGGATTTGTAGTAGACTTTAAAAGGAACCTGAAGGCAGTAAAGCCACTAAGACGCAAGAGGGTGTGGAAGAATTAGGAACAGAAACATTAGTATTGAGGGGGAAGAAGAAAGATTAATCAGTGTCACCCCATACAAGGCAGTAAAGCCACTATGACACAAGAGGTTACAGAGTGTGGAAGAATTAGTAACAGAAGCATTAGTATTGAGGGGGAAGAAGAAAGATTAATCAGTGTCACCCCATGCAAGGCAGTAAAGCCAGTAAGACACAAGAGGTGACAGAGTGTGGAAGAATTAAAAAAAGAAATATAAATAATGAGCGGGAAGTGGAAAGAATAATCAGGAGAACATTAGATAACCATTGACATTTGGAGAGATTAAAGTTGGCTGGAAAGCATGGAGCCGGAAGAGAGTTTCACAGTGCGAGAAAAGAAACTGTTAGCATAGAACCTACGGTTACATCTCTCCAGTTCAACTGTAAATTGATGAGATCTCGACGCCAGTCTAATACTCTGCTTAAATTCAAAAGATCTAGGTACCATAATGAAGAGCGATATTCATTCTGCTATGTACAGAAATGTGGCACAAGGCCAAAATGGGGAATGGAGGAAAAAGACTGTCTTGTTCTGTCTTAACATTAAATTTAGCTAGCCACAAACACTGACCCAAACATAACACAATATTCCTTACACAACAACAACGCATTCTTACTTTCTTTTCTTACTACATTCGCCATAATACCTCATTGTCTCTAACTAGTTCCCATATATAAAATTCATTGTCTGTGGCAGGAGGGGAATTAAACAACAAATTTAAAAATCTAACCTCAATCCGAATAATTACCATGAAAGTATTTATAAAAAGAAAAAAAGCACAGATAGGCAACATTACGGGAGTGGTAAGTGACATTAGCCGAACTGCCAGATCAGGTCCAGTAATATTGCTGATTCTTCCTTAGCAGGGACAACGTGCCATATTTAGCAGCAATATTCCAAGCATGGATGAATGGTAGATTTATAGATATATAAGAAAGATTCTGGACGATTGGAGTAAGTCAAATATTCGGACAGAGACACCGGAGCCCTTGAGCTTGTGAAGAAGGCCGGTCAAAATTTGAGAAAACGTTAGCGATATGTCATTGCTTTTGTATTGTTTACTGATATTATCTATGGTTATGAACTTGGGTTTTTATATACATATCACCGATCATCACAAAGAACAATAAATTCGGCATACGAACTAATAGAAAAAAGATCTCAATCTATCTCTCTAATATATATATATATATATATATATATATATATATATATATATAGCTAATATTAGTGGTAAATATACGCATACATATGCAAAATATATAAATATATATAGATAGGTGCATACACATACATGTATATTTTTTGAATAAAAATTCCAAGAGAATAGAATCCAGGTAGAACTCAATGTCCAGGACAGAGTAAGGATATAATAAGAAGGCTTAAACACTAATATTCCATGACCATGGAATATTAGTGTTTAAGCGTTTTTATATATATATATATATATATATATATATATATATATATATATATATATATGAACATAACACACACACACACCAATAAACCAAAGATATACAGGATGCGATGGGTAAATTGTCACCATTTTATATTTTTAATTTCACGTAAGCGCGTTGTTTGTTTATGATTTTGTCGACTGCACATTATAGTGGGGTCAGTTGGGCAACGTCTGTGACAAAAAGAGCACAATGACGCAGTTCACTCCTCCAGGAATTTGGAAACGTCATGCGGTCCTGCTTGGCATTCGCACCGGAAAATCCAGTACCAACATTTCAGAGTGTTTGGGTCGCAATCTGAGGACAGTGTAGAGGATTCGGAAAGAGTCCGATGAGTTTAATGGTGATTACGAAGGTGTCTGAAGTGTTCACTAGTGATGGCGACGTTATGCCTCCATTCACAGGGCCTCAGACTCAACATGGAGGCCTACATCAAGTGCGTTGAGGAGGTAGTGCTGCTCTGGGTTAAGAGGTTGATTGCTGGAAGACACAGCAACAGCACTCTGCACCATGCCTCGCAAGCAAGTGAACCTAGTCATGGTTGTAAGACAATTTCTGCGACCACATCACTCCTTATATCTGGTCAACTAACTCCCCAGACTGCAACCTCATTAATTATTATGTGAGGGTCACAGTTGTGAGACCAACAAAACTCCTTGTAACACTGAAGATGAACTGAAAGCAAGGATTATGGCAGCATCCACCAACTTAAACAAGGAGACCGTCCAGAAGAGATGGAGGAGATTCCGAAGTCGTCTAGAGCTCGTGATTGAAGCCAATGGTGATTTTATTCAATAAATTTACTCTTTAGTATTTCAAGATATTTTTGTGTAATTTTGGTAAATATATCTGTTAAAATGAGATGTCAGTGTTAGTTTCATTTTTGCGTAATTTAGACGCCAATTCATCCATCGCATTCTGTATAAAGAAAAAGAACACTTTTTGATCTTCGGATCTGAGAAGGTAATTTAATTTATTGCCCCAATTATCCTACTTTTGTGTTTCATTCCAACCTGAAGAACACAATGCCAAATCGCTTCGTTAAACAGCATCCCCACTTTGTCCCATTACCTCGATTTTTGTTTCAGATACTCGCATATATATATATATATATATATATATATATATATATATATATATATATATATATATATATATATATATATATATATATGTAAAGAAAGAACAGTAAGATATATAATCCGGTGTTCTTATTGATATTTTTTACTCTTATTTTTACAAAACAGTGCTCAATATAAATTCACAGAGCATAAATATTATAAATAAACTGATTTAAAATGTCTTTTTCGTTACACAGTAATAACCATGTTTCAAAAATGGAAGCTAAAAACTTCAAATTTAATTTTGTAATTAAATTAAAAGCATTAGTTCCATTTCACCTTCAAGCGAATATTGGAATATTCTAATATTCGCTTGAAGATGAAATGGAACTAATGCTTTTAAATAAGCATATTTTAAATA